AAATATTGCTGATTCTTTTCTGGGATGTTGGTGAATTTTTTCAATTGTAATGTGTTCTGATCAATAAAACAAAACATCAACAAAATAAATAAAGTTGATTTTTACAGTTACTAATATCAGCCGATTAACCGGTTGGGCCGGTTTTTCGATGTTGTGCTTTGCGAAGAGGTGCCTGAACCCTTATTTTACATGTAAATCACTGAGAACAAAGGATTGTATATCTAAATAAAATATTGCTGATTCTTTTCTGGGATGTTGGTGAATTTTTTCAATTGTAATGTGTTCTGATCAATAAAACAAAACATCAACAAAATAAATAAAGTTGATTTTTACAGTTACTAATATCAGCCGATTAACCGGTTGGGCCGGTTTTTCGATGTTGTGCTTTGCGAAGAGGTGCCTGAACCCTTATTTTACATGTAAATCACTGAGAACAAAGGATTGAAGACTTAAATATTTGGTCATTAAGAAGACACTTCCAAGTACATAAACATGTCTTTTAGGCGCAAAGTTGAATAACAACTTGTCCCTTCTGCTAAAATGCATTCGTGAACCGTTTTGGCTGATGTGTTGGTGGAACAAATAATTCAGATTTGTCTACGCTTACATGGTGGTTGCACTAGCCTAAGCTCACTGCGGTTCTTGAAAGAAATCTTGCTCAATATTGTTTTTTCCCACCTTTCATCTTACCCTCCCGCAGTGATGCCACGGTTCACAGAGCAAATTGAGTCTGCAGTGGAGGCCTTGAGCGCGAACCCCTCGCAGCCAGTTGACGAGAACGAGTTCATTGATGCTTCCCGTCTTGTATATGATGGCATTCGAGACATTCGCAAGGCTGTCCTCATGATTAGGGTAGGTTGCACACATTGCTTCTCTCCCTCATGCAATTTATAATGTATTTTGTTTAATCCAATGCAAATGTGACAATGTCCATTACAATCCAAACAATTCATTTATTTACAACCTTCGAATGCTGCTGCCAAGATGCTAAAACAATCGACATCTGGCCCCTTTTGAGAAAAAAGCCAATTATCAGCCAAGCATACTTTTATCTTGTCTTTAGTGAAATCGGTGTCCAGATTATTATCCTGCTAAGATTGCAAATAACATTTTCAAATATTTTTGGAATATCTAGTTCCTTACAGACACAGCACACCAGTGGTTCCCAACCTTTTGTCCGCCAATGACCGGTTCGTGGTAGGGCTGATTGGCACATTCCCAAATGGGACGTATATGCGCACTGGTGGTTGGGGACCGCTGCAGTCGACCACACATATTTACAACACTTCAAGATATGGCTATGTACTAATTTAATAGATTATTTAGGCATTGGCTTTTGCCATTTTATGTGACTGTAAAAAAAAAAAAAATATATATATATCTATATAT